TGGGCCAAATTAGTACACGTTAGATGCACCACACACTTTCGCGCATGAACAAACATGTTGTAACGCGCTGATGAGCAAACATTTAAATATGCATTTCTGCACTGCGTTTTGTTCGGATCCATTTCCATTACCCTGGAACCATATGCTTTCAATTGTCTTGTACCTCGGGCGGGATCGTTTTAATCCGCAAAGAGGAGGATCAAGACGAAGGGGAGGATTCGGGACGGGGGCGTTTGCGAGCGAGACGGAGAAAGATTGCCCCGAAACGAGACAACCGTGAGTAGATCGCTTTCGGGATCATTAATTATCCTAGCAAGTGCGAGAATGAGAGGGACAGCGCCCGACCACCGGGGGTTCGACGGAGAAACGTTTAGGGTTGGAACGGCAAGGGGATGCTGGACGCCGAGGGGCGGTAAGGAGAGCAAAGGAGACGGCGAATGTCGCCACTGCAAACCGAAATTACCGTCGAAGATTAATGATCCCGCGCTTTATTACAGGTATTTATAGCCGTGCTCTAAAATCCTCGCGCGCAGTTAACCTTTCGTTAATAGGAACGATACCACGGCGCCCCGGTGCCATCGGAACTTTCGGAAAATTCGTGCTGCCCCGGGCTGTTCATTAACCATTCCTTATCTAATAAAACTTCCAACGACCGTCGTCGAGTGCCCTGGCGCCTTCCGAACTGCGAGCCGCTCCCTTTATCGCGTTACCGCTTCTTGGAAGGAAAACGTTAACCCTCCGCCGGCGAAGTGGCGAACCACGTGGAATTTGTCGGACCGATGAAAATTCGCCCGTGTTTATTCGACGGTAAATTCGATGGTGCTTGTTTTGGCCGCTGGCCGAATTAACTAAGAGAATGCCAGCGCTTTGCTGTGTCGAGAAAATGTTGCGGTTAGTCCTGACGATAGTCGAGGGTTGCGACGATCGATCAAATCTCTCTGTGGTCTATCGAACGAGCAACGCTTGGCGACTTCGCGACTTTCGTGAACTGGAAATTAATATCCCAGCAGGAAAAATGCTGGCGTTACAGATTTTCCTGAGAGAGGTCTCTCGCGTCGAAGCATCCCGGACGATAATTTGGAGAATATGGCAGCCTAGCGTGGAAACGTTCGCCTCGCGACTTGGTCGGAAAAGCTTCGATGCGACGGTGCGAGCGACGATATTTCATGCGGCGAAGCGTGGTCGTCGGTGCTCATCGCGCATTAATTAAGTTTAGTCGGAGCGTTCGCTTTTGCACGAGTCGAAAAGAAGCCTGATAAAGCGAGGGAAGAAAGAGAGATAGAGTGAGAGTGCGAGAGGGATAAATGAAGAGCGAGAGAGAGAGAGAGAGAGGGAGAAATGAAGAGAGAGAGAGAGAGAGAGAGAGAGAGAGAGTAAAGAGCGAGAGACAACGTACACACGTGCATTCGTTCCTTAAATAAATCGCTTCGAGTGACGGATTGGGGAAGAAGATTAACGAGCGCCGGTGTGTCGTTCGATTCGATACGTCGAATTAACGCGGGACAGGAACGAGGCTCTCGGTATCGGTTATTAATGACTGGAGCCTCTGCCAATGTAAACCTCGCGGCCGCGCTCACGTTTCGTACACGCTTGTGGCACTGAAAAGCTTCGATTAATCGCGCGGCTGATAAATGCCCGCGATCCACGCGAATGGATCGCATTATACCCGGCTGAATTGCGGTTAATTATCGTCAACTGGCCGGCGCGGAAACGTTCGGGAATTAAAAGAGTAACCTAACGACACGACCATGCGGTCCCGCTTCCTACTCCGCGCCGCGCCGGTTACATAAGCGCTCACCTAAACCGGACAACCCGTGTATTTTTAATGTTCGCTCACCGTGACTTTTGTTTTACCGGTCGGTCTTGCGAAATTAAACGAATTCCTGACAGGACCCTGTTCTCTCCTGCGCGTCCCACGCGCGTCCCGCTCCTGCACGACCTCCTGAACGACGAGGGGTTGAAAAAAAAAACAATCGTCGCCCTCTTTTCCTGAGCGACAGGTTCGCCAATATCTACCCCAAACCTAATATAGTTAACAATGCCCTTCGCCGCCCTTTGCATCGCTACCTGCGGACCTTGTCACCCGCTTAACTTCGATGATGCATCCCCCACAGACGCCGCATTCCATTCGGTTTGCAGCTGATCTTTCCGAGTGGCAGAGAGAACCACGATCTTCTAAGAAGTGGGGATCGGTCGATGGACAAGTTAAAATCCCTTCCAGCTTTTTGTTTCGAGCTCCTACTCGAAACGACGAGCTTCGATGAGTTCTCAATTTTTGTTTTATTACGAAGGCCTAGCGCGCATTGGCCTTCGTAGCAATTCAAATAAACTATTCGAATAAATTAGCAAATAAATTAAGCAGACTATCCAAATTGATTAGCGGACGAAAGTTATGGACTTTCTGATTATTATATTACTGATTATTATTATTATTATTATTATTATTATTATTATTATATTATTCTGATTATTATTATTATTATTATATTATTCTGATTATTATTATTATTATTATTATTATATTATTCTGATTATTATTATTATTATTATTATATAGATACTATGACTTTTCGTACCGAACGTGTTAAATGACGCACAGCATGTACGTAGCAAATTGCCATTGTCGTAAAGAAAAACTGAGCAGATTTCTTGTTATAAAAATATTGGCTTAAAAAAACAGGCAAAGTTGGTTTTACCTGAAAACTAGCAACACCTCCTACTCACTATTTTTACGAGGGATTTTGTAGCTTGTTGACTTTCTAACGGTACAGCTGTAAATCTGTCCACAGGCCTCACATTTAATCGCCAATTTTCGGAAGTTCTGGCGACACCGAAGTGACTCCGGTCCTCCAACCGATTTTCTTCGACCTTCCCCTTAATAAGGGTGGCGTCCGAACAATTTATGCGGGCGGTAGGAAAATTCCGTGACGGTGGCGCTGGGGTGGGGATGAAAATGAGAAGGAGGATGGGAAACCGAGCTGCGAGTATCCGAAGGCAATACCGTGGCAGCGTCGAGATCGTTAATCTTGCAGATGGTAGGTTGGCGGAGGCGTTTTCCACGTGTATCGAACACCTACGGGTACACTTGTAGATGCCGAAGTGGCATTAGCACACCCCTGCCATGAGTCGGTGGTTGCCACCCTCCATTTCGAGCCCAGCAAATATTCGCAATATCTTTTCCGTGAATTTCTGAATATTTACCGTGAAAAGTTCGATATAAGTTGTTTATAATTTTCAGCTTATCTGAAATCGATTCCGCTTAATTATCGGCACCTATAATTGCACAGTGGAAAATTTATTACTGATATAAACTGCACCAATTGTATTTAGTCAGCACTTATAATAGGATAGAAATTTAAATTGCGCATAGATATGGCTAGATGATTCGAATGAAGTATTAATATTTATTGTAGCATTGATATATACATATATAGCTCGATGAGGAAATTGTCTCGACTTCTCTGTGAGAAGGCTTGATGTGCAACATTCGTGATGTATATACTATAGCCATCTAGCGGAAAATAAGGTTTGCTGTTTAGCCATCTATTCCCCGATCTCACACTTGCAAATACCAAATACTTGTCCTGATTTTAATAAAAAAAATAATACCCTTCTGTAATATAAAATAAATCGTTTTTTAGCATCCAGAAGCGGTGCCGCTATTTGGCTAGTAGTTTCAGCGTTTTGCTAATTACTAATTGGCGTCATACGGATCCTGAACAGAGCTTCCAGATTTCACCACAAGCGGAGCCATCGTTTCGCTAGCAATTTCAACCTTTTGCCATACACTAATTGGCGCTGCACGGACCTTGAGAAGCTTCCCTTATTTAACCACAAGAGGCGCTTCTATATTATCGATAATAGAGAAATCTGTATCCGTCGGTTGCGCAGTGCAATAGCGACATCTAACAGCAGTTGAGTAAACTGGTTGCTCAAATGATCATGTTCCCTTCGTATATCCAGAAACTACGAGAAAGAGATGCGCGTAGAAGAGCAGGAGGGGAATCGCCAAGAATATACAGCAGTGCCTCGCGACAGCAAGCCAAGCGGGGGCAACCGGCTTCGAATTACGAAGCAGGTAGAGAAATCTGATTGGTTGATGCTTCACAGCTAAACAGTGCTGCCCTCGAAGTTCTAGACAAAGAGAGAAAGTGCGAGCGAGCAAGAGAGTACGATATCAACACCACCACAAGCGAAACGAGCCACACCGACGACCAATGTAGCTTGGCTGACTTTACCGTGCTTGCAGTCTCGCTCTTTTCGCGCATCCGCATGCCTGGTGCTCCATCTGAAACATGTGGCGCGATATTCGACTTGTACTTTTCGCCCCGTAGGATTCACGACTATTTATTTATTATGATTATATATATTATATTAAATTATCTATTTATTATTAGTTATTTAAATATGTATTTGCGAACGTCTTGAAACGGCGATCATTTCTACAATTATTAAAATTTTCGAAAACCCGTCAGCTACATTTTATGTAATGGTTTCTACTTTATGGTTTGTAAGAATCGTATAAAATTGCGGAATTATTCGTTGCTTTCGCTTTTGCTGATCGTCTCAGTTAACACGTTCATCGCCCGGCTGAGTTTCTCGCGGGGCCCAGATCCAGATGGAGCGCCAAGCATATGGATGCGCGAAAAGAGCGAGATCGCAAACACGGTAAAGCGAGATGGCCTAGGTTTCTCGCTGTGTGGACACTCTACATAGAGCCCGCTGGTTTCGTGCTGTCCCTTTCGATCATCTCCTGTTCTCTTTCTGAAGTAACTGCGCGGGCCTGGATGCGCAGTAAAATGGTGGGGATGAAACGGCTTACTTTCGGGAGGTAGAATTGCTTACTACGGCGAGATATGACTGCAACGGATACGGAAAGACGCAGATACCATAGACAGAGGGGAACGATTGAGTAGACCAGGGGCTCGCTTGCGACAGTTACAGTAAAATATTTGTTCTGCATTGTTTAATCGCAGCTAGTTTCACGGTGAATATCCTACATCTTTTTAATGTTCTCGCACCTTATTCCTGATTTAGCGTTGCATTTGCTTCTCGAATACAGCGTCGATATTTCATGCACATGTCACAAATATGTCTTGCGCGGATGTTATGATTCGTGAATGAAGTGCTTACCTATTTTTGCAAACACAGAACTTTGAACGAACCAACCGAACGTGAGTGAAAAAAATTGTAAAATTCATTGCTCGTTATTGTTCGGGATATGAGTGAGTTGTTGTCACAACAACTGTGACTGAAGAAAACTGTCGTGTACACAAAATCACAAAGACACTTTGTCTTCGTGAAAAGAACAGTTTTCCCGATTAAATATACTTTAGCTGATAGATACACTACGCTCGAGGTGGGTTAGGGATGTCTATGCCAACAGAAACTTTTATGCATTAAATTATAGAAACTGAAGACAAATGAGGCCCATTTTATTTCTCAAATAAGAGAGAAACTTTGCTAATTTTTTTCACGTGCTGACGCTGCGATATTTCAACAGCCATTAATTGAAACTGTTCTAGATGCCCAATATCAAATTACAAAGCTCAGATGGAGAGGTTTTCGAAGTTGATGTTGACATTGCAAAATGCTCGGTCACCATAAAGACCATGTTGGAAGATCTTGGCATGGATGATGAAGAGGAAGAAGTTGTTCCCTTGCCAAATGTTAATTCTGCTATTCTGAAGAAAGTACTTCAGTGGGCAAGCTACCACAAGGATGATCCACCGCCACACGAAGATGAAGAAACCAAAGAAAAACGCACAGATGATATAAGTTCTTGGGATGCAGACTTTTTAAAGGTGAAAACCTTGAAATTACTGTATTTATTTTGTATATTTTGTATGGCTGGGTACTTAGCGAACCGATTTACTTATAGGTGGATCAAGGAACCCTTTTTGAATTAATCTTGGCAGCTAATTATCTTGATATTAAAGGGCTTTTAGATGTAACATGCAAAACAGTTGCTAACATGATAAAGGGAAAAACACCAGATGAAATTCGAAAGACATTTAATATTAAAAATGATTTTAGTGCAACAGAGGAGGAGCAAGTGCGCAAAGAGAACGAATGGTGTGAGGAAAAGTAGATCAGCATTCGAAAGCATTGGACATTTTGATTTACTACAGAATTCCGTCTTAATACTCGAAAATTTCTGAGCTAATGCACCAATTGTATTATTTGAAGAGAGGTTTCTTAATAATTATCTAATTTTCAATTATTACACCAAATAGTCGCTACTTAATGTTGAAAAATTATGTTGATGTGTATATGGTTTATTTATCCTAAATCTTTGCATAACGTTTAATAATACCATTCACTATGCATAGTAAAAGTTACAAGAACATAAATTAATCTTATCGTATCATTGTTACATTTACTTAGTACCATAGATATATTTAGTACCATAGACAGCCAAATTTTGTTTCATCTCTTTAGAATATACGTCTCAAATTTTCTATTTTCTTTTTTATCGAATATATTGGTGTAATTGTATGTTTTAAACAAAATTGTACACTGAATAGTCGTATTAAAATATAACGAAAATGTCAGTTTTATTAATAAACATTTTTCTATGTTCAGGATTGTCAAAACTTTTAAACAAACAACTCGAAATGAATTCGCTATATCTAGTAATTCTAATACTTATTTTTTCGATTGTTTTATATCTTTCACTGCACCAAATACCAAATTTTTATTTGATAAAAGTGAAATGCATTACAATATTTTCTGAATAAACAATTGTTTGTGTGAATGGAACAAAGTGTACTTCTGCGCATATTTGATTCACGCTACATCTCGAACATATAAAGTCTAAATTATTTTTCATGAAGCAATTGAAATTTCTTTTGAATTAATATTATCTTTACTTATATGGAAAAATATTGTTCTGTATAACAAATGAATTTTATGTAAAGGTTTAGCCAATAAATAATAATAAATGTGAAATGAAAATGTTCAAACATAACCTTTATTTCAACCGCAGAGTGTAGAGAATGTTGTGCAGATGTCAAGTATTAAAACAGTTCTGGATTCAAATATAAATATAAATGGGAAAGAAAAAGAATAGTTTGTTTTTTAAAGAACCGACATCTCGTAATATTTGGCAATGGCTAATTATGAAACACACGGTGAATAAATCGATCGAAACTTAAAAATTCTAATACAGTGACAAAATTGACCTTTGACTCGACAAGCAATTTTTACAGATGCTGTTCAAGAAAATGATTTTCCTGGTTGCAATACGTCATCGAATGTCATGGAAAAGTTGCATGACATTTGCAATTGGGCTGAAATCGAAAATGTAGCGATAGAATATCACGACTTAGACAATACCATCTGCATAACTTATAAAGAACTTCTTGCTACAAAAATCATGCTCTCTGATTTTTTACAGTGCATAAAGGGTTTCGAATTTGTCGGTATAAATTTTGATGTTCCTGAATATTGTGTGGTTTCTCTAATACTTGGGTAAGAGGTTCAATTAGATAAAATATGATCACGGAAAATATATTCTTCAATCAGTTTTTTTGTAGGATTTTAAGTAGCAAACACAGCTTTGTAAATGTACCGTTCAATGCGACAGAATTCATAAAGTTAAAAAAAACATTGCGGTTACGCTATTTGTTTTGCAAAGATATAATTGAAGGAGATATTTTAAGAGAATTTACAATTCAAAATAAATGCATTTACTTGATAAAATTGAGAAACCAAAACCAAGATAAGTTGCACAACAATGGAAGCCATTATGCATATGCTATTACTACTTCTGGTTCAACTGGTGAACCCAAAGTTGTTAAAGTACTTCATGCCTCCATAATTCCTAATATTCTAGACTTAAGCACAAGGTTGAGCATTCGGAAGTACGATAAAATTGCTCAATTGACAAGTTTCACGTTTGATCCGAGCATAGTTGAAATTTTTCTGGCTCTGTCGTCAGCTGCAACATTGTTTATGATCTCGAAGGCACTGAAAAATAATACTAATAGGTAAATATGACTAATGAAAATACGGAACGTGTTTCTACGAACACGAATCTGTATGAAAAAGTCATTATTTAAGTTAAAAATCAAAATTGTTTCGTAACATTTTATATGCGATTAAGTTTAAATAAGCGATCTGATCATTGTTCGCCATTTCTACTTATTGCACGTGCAGATTTCCGATTTATTTTGTAAATACCTGCACATTTTCATTTCCGCAAAAAATATCTTATTTTCAGGCTCTTGGAGGAAGTTCATTCTAACAATATTTCGATACTGCAAATGACCCCTTCACTCTTTTTAAACAACTGGACAACTGAAAGATTAAAAGCCACTATTCTTAGTGATAACTCGTCCCTTAGAATTCTTCTTTTAGGTGGAGAACCTTTCCCGAAATTAGACTTACTTCTTGAAGCGATACATCCTTGTAACAATACAAGAATCTATAATATTTATGGCATCACTGAGTTGTCTTGTTGGGCCAGTATTAATGAAGTTACAATTAAGAATAGACAAACTGATGTACAGTGCTTAGGTGAAGCATTGTCACACATTATATTCCAAGTTAGAAATGAAGTAGGAGAAGTGATAACAAATGGTACAGGCTTCCTTTATATAGGTAGTTATCATGTATTACGTTTTGATAATAGAAAGTTGTTAATGCATGAGATATGACTAAATTTTATATATTTGCATGTAGGCAGTAATAGCAGGATTTGTGTAATAGATGACGAAAAGATTGAAGAGTTGAAACTACCGGTATTTCGTGAGAGTGGTGATATTGTCTCTGTAAGCATCATAAACTATTAGATATTTCATGTTATTAAAAGCAATCCTGTTCCAGATCGATGAAGATGGTAAAATATTTTATAAAGGAAGAAACAATAGCATCGTTAAACGATTTGGAAATAAGATCAATTTGGCAGACCTTGAAAAATTTGCATTGCAAGTCAGTTTTGTTAAAAATTGTCACGCAATATGGGATGAGAGCTATCACAAGTTATATTTATGTGTATCCACCAAGGAAAAAATAACGAATTGTGACAATATGAATAGAGTTATGATGGAACACTTACAAAAGTTATCTTCCTTGTATAGACCAGACAAAATATTCTTTTTAGATCAATTTGAATTTACTGTAAGTGGAAAAGTCTCCATAAATTTTTTAAAAAGGTACATAGAGGAACAGGCGATAAATACAACTGTAAATAGTATCAGCATCCAAAATGCCGAAGACATTTTTAAGTCTATTTGGGAGAATAATTTAAAGTATGAGAACAGTGGATTTATAAAATTAGGTGGCACGTCCATAATGGCGTTGCAAATATCGAATGCTATATCCAAAGAAGTAAACAGAGAATTTCCTGAATTAATTGGCATGCTTTTAAACGATGCTAGCATCGTTGAATGCATCAATTATATAAAGGGCATTCTATCGATCAATCCCAGTAATTCGGTAAACTATTCAATTCGATACATGTCTGATAGCAACCAGATAATATCTATAATTCATACTACAGTGCAAGATGAAGCATCATCACATCAAGATACAAAAAATCGTGATTCTAAATCAATGATTATGGAAAATCAAATTTGTTCATATCAGTGGCATAAATGCAGAGGACAACTAAATTCGTACACTACAACTGAGAATGAAAGATCTAAAACACTATACAATGCAGTGACGAGAATTGAGATATTAAAAACGTGTGATTTACGCAAATGCATAGATGCATCGACAACTATCTTTCATTACTCGAAGCAAGTATAAATTAAAGCAACAATAGTAGATTTTTTGAAGTTTTAACTATCCAATTTTTTATTTAGTGGAAAAAACTATGCAACAGTTGGTTCACATTCCGGATTGATAGCTACTATTTTATTAGAAGTGAAAAATTCTTTTCCTACATTCGTGGTACAATTACCTAACAGAATCGAAGCATCGGTTTTAATCCTAGATAATTTCAGGGGTATAGTGGGTAAGTTCTTTATTCTAATTGTTCATTTCTTGCCTAGATTATTAATTCCTTGTTCTCCAGGATGTCATGACGGCAACATATACTGTTTAGACTTGAAAACAGGAGACGTTTTTTGGAAATACCAAACGGGAGATGTCGTCAAATGTTCAGCAATATTTTGCGAAGAACGAAAAAACATATTTGTTGGTTCTTACGACTGTTTTATATACTGTCTCTCTGCAAAGGTATATAAATCAATCTTCTCCGAATTATATTTTTGAAATCTGACTAAAAGGAAATCGGTTCAGGATGGATCTGAAATTTGGAAATGCAATACTGGAAATGGGAGTATCAGTGCTTCTGGTTGCTTACACTTACCATCAAACAGCGTGCTGTTCGGAACTTTAGATGGTTCTTGTTTGGCACTGGAACAGTCATCGGGTGAAGTTATTTGGAAATATAAATTAACAGATCCTATCTTTGTTTCACCAGTAACGTTAAACACCGGGCTTGCCTTATTTTGTTCTGTAACAGGAATGTTAACATGTTTTGACATCAACGTCAATGCTAAGGTAATATTGTGTTAAAAGTTCGCTTACAAGACAAGATCCCCATCCCAGAAATGTTGAAAATTATGAAATTTTAAGAATACGTAAAAAACAACTTTTTCTGGCTGGGGACCTTGACTTACAAGACAATAATTTTACTCAATTGAATTTTGTTTCATAAATGTTAGATGTGGCAGCACAAAATAAACGGCAATGTGTTCTCATACATAGTGAAGCACAATGATATGCTCACAGGACACGAAAACATTATTCTAGCTAGTCAGAATAAGAACGTGTACTATTTGGAGTCACCAAATAAGTTTAAGACTGAACCTATTTTGAAATGTACATTGCATCTTGAGTCATCAGTTTTCGCTACTCCCTGGTGCGAGGATGACATTTTGTTTATGGCGTGTACAGATGGCACATTATATATTTATAACTTTGTGACAAACAGATTAACAAAAACGGAGAAGCTTCCCGGTGAAGTCTTTTCATCGCCTGTTGTTGATAATGGCATGGTGGTAGTTGGATGCCGAGACAATAATATTTATGTGCTGAAACTCATACACAACTGAACATGTCCTGTTTGATAGGAATACAAATCATTGAAATTAATACAATACCGTTTATTCTTTTTCTGACGACCGTCACATTACAGTTACGTGAGTAACACTTTAGGTAAAGGTAAAGGTGGAACACGTGGCCGTCTTCCAATGAATTCGTACGTGACACGAATCATTGTGAATCAGTGCGCTTATAGTTTTTTTTTTCAAGCAAGAATGCAAGCGAATTAAAAGTTCTGAGGAACAGCCAATCGCTCGGTAATAAAACATCCACGCATACATTTAATGCACACGCATAGCGGTTCTAAAAGCAACATATGCATGTCGTGTATAGTTGCCCTCTCGATTCATGTCCTCTCAATTGATAATGATCATAAATACTGGACAAGGAAATTGTCTGGCCCTCAAGCTCACATAAAATAACAACGTTTCAACGATTCCCTCTTCTCTATATTCTCATTCTTCTAATACTTGAGAACGAGAAAGAATATACATATATATCTATTTAATTTATATATTTATATGCTTGGCCGCTCTTTCAATCCTTTTTTTTCCCCTCTTAATATTTCAATATAGATTCTCTCCTGTAATTATATTTCAGTTACAGGCAATTGTTCTTTACGAGAGATTCGGCTTATTGTATGCATATGTTTTCGGTTTGCATTCCTGTGAAATACACGTGGGTGTCTCGAGTCTCAAACGATACCGGAACTAAATGTGCAGGAGTATGATATAGTTTTCTACGACTAAAACAGGGACGCCGCCGCGCTATTTTCGACGTCCGGGTGCAAATTTACCGGTTTTCTTAATAATTCGTCTTGTACCACAATGTTTTACAACAATTTCGATGAACGATTCTATCTATACTCTTTTGTTCGACAGTTAAAACATGAGATAAATATCCGTGATGTGGTGACAATTGTTGCTACAAAACGCACTGGTGATGGTAAATACATGGAGAACACACGAGTCGTCCTGTAACATTTATTTCGTTCCCCGTTCAGAATGTATCGAAAATACTCAAATCACAAACGGTACAAGTTTCATTGTCAACCCTATTTCGGAATATGTCGTGTCTGTGTGTATTCCAGAGAGGGGGGGAAGGGGGGAGAGAAAAGAAAACTGTGTAATTAAAGGATAGTATGTAGAATGGTATTTAGACAAACTTAAAAAGATAAATGTTCGAATATTCCGTTCTGCCCTTGGTAGTAGTTCTCCGCGAAAGAGAACCTAGAATTATTAGGCGTGAGTCCTATCGGCGGATCGTATCCGCCTCGAGACTCGATTAAACACCGACGCGGTCGGTAAGATTACGCATTAAATTACGTTGCTCACTCTTGTTTTGTTTCTTTCTCTTTCGTTAAATTCAGGATGAACTAGTTTCGAGAATGACCAGCTGCGCTAGCTGTCGTACGGTTACTGGTCCTCGTCGCCTAGGTCTTGTTTCACTTTTTTGAAGTCGAACTCCTCGCCGGTCGCTCGCTTGAATATATCGAGGACGTCTAAACAGGTGGTCTCGAAGTGCGTTGTGGCGTCGTAACTCGTCGATATAAAGATCTGACTATTCAGACCGTCGTCGGTCGGCTCCATGTATTCGGATACTGATATGAACTTTTGCCTGATAGGGCCGAGCAAATCGAGGCCGGGTTTGATCTCGGCTTCCGGATTCTTCGTCTCGACCGTGGTCGACACCATGGCTATGAACCATCCTTTCGCAGCCACTTGATGAGTATGCGACACCAGAGACACATAGATGTCGGAGTTGCGGTTGACCTGCGAAAGAATGTTCATATTAATCTCCGGCATTGTTACTCAAATGCTCTGTAATGTCCTGGAAAACGCTACGGTAGAGGGAAGACTTAAAAGTCTGCCTACTTGTTTTTGAGGAATAATAATTTGCGTCGACAAAGCATCTCCTGTGCCTGGTATCGGGTGATCTAAGAGACAAATGCATCTTATGACCTGACCCACTTTCTTCACGCGCTCAGGTACATACGTCGGGTCACAAAAGACTTGTTTGCACTGAGCAACCTCGTCTCCGGATCGTACACCGACGACCTACAAAAGAAAACTCGATAATTAGCGTTCAATTTCACCATACACATCAGTTGACTTGTAAAAATTGTTCGCTGGCGCTCACCTTTCCGTCTTTGACGACGATTTCGTCGATCGGTTTGTCCAACATGTACGTTCCACCATAAATGGCGCTAAGTCGGGCGAAGCCTTGAGGAAGCTCGCCCAGACCGTACATGGGATACAGATACGGTGATTTTCCATAACGCGCTAAACTATCGCTGTACAATTTAATTCTTCTTATAGTAGTAATTGCACGTTGGCCTATATACTCGTCGTCCCTGTAACCGAGAGGCCATCTTATTAGTAAAATGACAAAACATTTTCAATTCTCATACAGTCTATAGTTTCTCGAACTATTTAATCTATACTATATTTTAATATCGCTGAAATTATATTCCCATGTGTGTGTGAAAGACGATCTCGATGGTCGTTTGTGTACCTATAAAGCGCTAGCGCGTGTCCCGTGAAGTCCTGAGTATTTTTGTCGAGGTTGAATTTGTTGTACAAAGCGCTCATGTTATTGCTGAACGGGTCGAAGCCGTCCCAAGAATCGGGCTTATCCTCCTGCATGTTCTGCACCCATATGAGGAAGCTACGGAACCGCCTCTTTTCGAACAGGCCCATAAGGTCACTGGACAACGCCTCCTGCTGGTCGATCGGCACCTTCGAAATCTTCCCGGACTTATAGACGTACGAACCCTCGACGCATTTGAACTCCAAGTAACGTGTCACACCGGTGTGAATTAGTAGCTTCACCAGCAACCCGTTCGCCATCAGGAACTTGGGAATTAAATCAACGTTCCAGTCGCGGCCACGACCGTAGCTCTCATCCGGCGTAGGCGCCTTGAATTTCCTAGATAACATAACAAACGAAAATGATCGATAACAGCTTCCTGTTGAAATTCTCAGCTATGCAATTTACCATAATTTAAAACATGCCGATATACCACTTTTAACATCTGGCCTTTCGAGTAACATTTATTCCGTACAATAATAATAGCACTTTTCCGTACCTATTTTGAACATGGGCAATTTTAAAAAGATTTTTTCTTTATAAGAAAATCCAATTTTAAGAATTTGTTGTCAACCACAAAAATTATACAAATGCTTTTATCACGACACGATTTTACAGATATTTAAAAACAAAATCATTTTCAGCAAGATAATCATAATCGTGCACATAAAATTGTAAAATATATCTCGGGATCAGTTAACAAGTTGAGAATCCCTGCTCTATCGCGCGATCCTCATATCACAGCTACACCGAAAGCATAACAATGTAATCCTGTCGCAAAAATTGTTATCATTACGTGGACTACTTAGGGTTTGTTAACAGTTTCAAATTCAAGCATACGTTGCGTTTCAGCGTACTATATGCTTACATTGAGCGGGAGAGGTTCTCATCGATTTCCATCGACTGAACTGTTTAATCGGATAAAAATATTCCGCTGCAAAATTGCAAGACCGCGAATACACATTTTCTCTCTCTCTCTCTTCCTCTCGTGTAGCTTGAAGGAAAGATAAGCATTTCGGCGGTGTAATTGTACAAATTGACAAATTTGATTATTGATGGATTTTCCCTTTACTTTCACGTTGTTTCAGAACGGTCATTGCATCGAATTATACGGTGAGTGCAACGCAGACCAAGGCAACGGTTCCAACGGACGGATAGTTTAGATGTGTTACAATTTATCGAGCACAGCCGGACACTTGACGACTGTCTCTCTTCAATGAACCAGAAGTGTAATCGCGCGGACGCGTTATCGCATTTATTTTTTCATCCCGGTGTATTCCACGCGAACGGAAGATTTCTCTGACCTTCTTTCTTTTTTTTATCTTTATCAAATTTGAGGCTTAATAGCCCTCGCTCTTTTGCGCGATATAGTTCCCGATAAGAGTCCACTAATTAATTTGTATAACGAGATGGCGATGACCATCTTTAAATAGAAATTTTTGCCCGTCAGAGAGCGACTGTGCAGCAAAAGAAGGATTCCTATAATTCCGAATCTAGCTAGATACGCGAACATATGTTCAATTTCATGGATCGAGGATGGCATACAAGTAACGGTACGCTGGCCACTCTGTTACTTAATATTTTCTGTTCATAATTCTTCGAGCGTAAACCAATGTGATTCCGTGTTCCGCTATACGTCATAGTTTGCCGCATACACCAATAAAAGTAGCAGACGATCAAAAAAGAAAAGCGTTCTTATCGTGACGACGAGAGGTGGCGAACCAATAGGCTTGTTTGTCTGGCGGTTCTAACATTGAATGGTTCGATGGATTAGTATTTCATCGCAGAGAGAGAGAGAGAGAGAGAGAGAGAGAGAGAGAGAGAGAGAGAGAAGGAGAGAGAGAGAGAGAGAAGGAGAGGGGAAGAATAATGCTGGAATGGGAGGACAGGAGTCAGAGTCGAACATAGAAAAAGTGTTTTTAAAGAGAAAACAATGCAACTTTTTGCTGTATCTGGAAGAATGTTACAGTCGCCGATCTTGTCGGGTTCGATCGGGAGCGAGCTGTTTCCTCACCGAACATTAACTGTGATTTCGACACGGTCCCTCTAATTATTTCACGGAAGAAAACAAGAATGTCTCCGTTTACCGCAACGCAGTAAATGAAGATATAAAAATATTTTCAGCAACGCTAAATAAAAAAATTAAAACATTGAAAGCGATTTCTTTATGCAGTTCGTTACAACTTATAGAACACTTAATTGCGCGTGGATGAATTTTCGAAGAATCGATTAAGATTACTCTGGACAAACCGATGGGTGGGAGGAGCGCGGAGTTCGCAATGAAATCGTCAAAAGTTTGATCGCGTTTGTGGAAAGAGAATCCCGTTCACTTCGAAATGGCTGTAAGCAAAAGTTACTCTGTCAAAGGGTAGTAGCATCTCTGCATCGAGGGGCTTTTCGAAGTCGTTGACAATCAATATTTGGAGCACCGTCTCAGCCGGAGTTGACTGAAATTTCGTGAAACTCGATGCGTCCGGTGCGCAAGAAATGTTGGTCGTTTTGAAAGAGAAGTCGGTGACCGGTTGTTGCAGAAATTGTGCGCGATTTGACGTGGAATGGCTCGCGTTTCGCGGGGCGGGCCCCTCCCCCAGGTTCGTATCGAGTGGCATTCTAGCCAACCTTCTGGAATCGTTTGGAGAAAGGGATGTGTGGATGGGCTGGATGGGATGCAGCCGCACGGCAACGACGCATTATCGCGGGTGACGGTATACGTCACGGTTCGGCCGACGGACACGCTCGACGGAGAAACTCGGGTTGCGAGCGGCGAACGACGCGCGATCGTGTCCCCGCGAGAGAAAAGCGGCCGAGAAGGGAAAAAATCAATATTTAAGACGAGTCATCGTTTGTCGACGATCGCAGGGGATAACGCTGACTGGGTNAAATTTTTGCCCGTCAGAGAGCGACTGTGCAGCAAAAGAAGGATTCCTATAATTCCGAATCTAGCTAGATACGCGAACATATGTTCAATTTCATGGATCGAGGATGGCATACAAGTAACGGTACGCTGGCCACTCTGTTACTTAATATTTTCTGTTCATAATTCTTCGAGCGTAAACCAATGTGATTCCGTGTTCCGCTATACGTCATAGTTTGCCGCATACACCAATAAAAGTAGCAGACGATCAAAAAAGAAAAGCGTTCTTATCGTGACGACGAGAGGTGGCGAACCAATAGGCTTGTTTGTCTGGCGGTTCTAACATTGAATGGTTCGATGGATTAGTATTTCATCGCAGAGAGAGAGAGAGAGAGAGAGAGAGAGAGAGAGAGAGAGAGAGAGAAGGAGAGAGAGAGAGAGAGAAGGAGAGGGGAAGAATAATGCTGGAATGGGAGGACAGGAGTCAGAGTCGAACATAGAAAAAGTGTTTTTAAAGAGAAAACAATGCAACTTTTTGCTGTATCTGGAAGAATGTTACAGTCGCCGATCTTGTCGGGTTCGATCGGGAGCGAGCTGTTTCCTCACCGAACATTAACTGTGATTTCGACACGGTCCCTCTAATTATTTCACGGAAGAAAACAAGAATGTCTCCGTTTACCGCAACGCAGTAAATGAAGATATAAAAATATTTTCAGCAACGCTAAATAAAAAAATTAAAACATTGAAAGCGATTTCTTTATGCAGTTCGTTACAACTTATAGAACACTTAATTGCGCGTGGATGAATTTTCGAAGAATCGATTAAGATTACTCTGGACAAACCGATGGGTGGGAGGAGCGCGGAGTTCGCAATGAAATCGTCAAAAGTTTGATCGCGTTTGTGGAAAGAGAATCCCGTTCACTTCGAAATGGCTGTAAGCAAAAGTTACTCTGTCAAAGGGTAGTAGCATCTCTGCATCGAGGGGCTTTTCGAAGTCGTTGACAATCAATATTTGGAGCACCGTCTCAGCCGGAGTTGACTGAAATTTCGTGAAACTCGATGCGTCCGGTGCGCAAGAAATGTTGGTCGTTTTGAAAGAGAAGTCGGTGACCGGTTGTTGCAGAAATTGTGCGCGATTTGACGTGGAATGGCTCGCGTTTCGCGGGGCGGGCCCCTCCCCCAGGTTCGTATCGAGTGGCATTCTAGCCAACCTTCTGGAATCGTTTGGAGAAAGGGATGTGTGGATGGGCTGGATGGGATGCAGCCGCACGGCAACGACGCATTATCGCGGGTGACGGTATACGTCACGGTTCGGCCGACGGACACGCTCGACGGAGAAACTCGGGTTGCGAGCGGCGAACGACGCGCGATCGTGTCCCCGCGAGAGAAAAGCGGCCGAGAAGGGAAAAAATCAATATTTAAGACGAGTCATCGTTTGTCGACGATCGCAGGGGATAACGCTGACTGGGTATGCCGGCGCGATCTCGTCGCGATTCGACCTTAGCACGGCACCTGGCACGGCCGTCGGGGACGAGGCGTCGATTTCCGACGGGACTTACGCGAACAAATCCTCCAGCGGCGTAATGGAGGCTGACTCGCCGCCGTAGTACTTGTTGCGATCTACGTGGAGCACCTTCTTCCCGCTGACCGACAGCATACCGGAGAGTATGCACTCTTTGAGCCCGGTGCCCAGCACGATCGCGTCGTATTCTTCATTCATGTTGTTGGACAGAAGCGAACTACACAACCACTGAACCAAACGCACGCGAAACTAGCCGCGAACACGTCCTTTTCCTTCTCGCCTCTCGGGAACACGGGATCGGTAATCGGAACACGAAAACGCTGAAGCACACGGACCACGCGACTGCCAACTCGCACGACTATTATGCCGGAACGGAAGACCTCGTTCTTTCGCTGACTGCCGATGACGGAGCTGCCGATGGAACGATAGTGGTGCTGCTACCGCTGGTGGAGCTACTGCCGCATCCGACTCTCCCTAGGCTCTCACGATTCCCCACCTACCGACCAGTTCAAATATCTCTCGGCGTCGGGTTTACGTATCTCTCTCAGGAGATTTCCTGATCTCGAATTTCCACGACCTCGTTGGACCCTGTTATCAACGATTTGTAATATCGCAAGGCGTTTCGATGCGCGTTCAAGTCCTTTATGAATCGCATTGTTCGAACGAGAATAGGAGAAAAATTGATTTCTTACCGACTAGAGAGCTCCTTGTGGTAGAAGTAAGGCAAAGATGACTCTGAAGTTTGTTAATGCCAGAACCAGCATAAAATTTTGCAGTCTACTAATAATGATGTCATTCTTGCTAAGAGCGGAAACAGAGTGTGTCGCAAAGTAGCTGAAAAAAGATACTGAAATGAAAATCGAGCGAACATAGGAAACAAAACACGGGAGAACTAATAAACGAATAACGCAATTAATTGCTGGTTCTCACGATTGCGCGGGGAAAAGTTCAATTCTGTGCTCTGAGAATTTGCAGATTCATTCTTCGCACGTTTCTTTGCGTGATTTAAAATTTAAACCACCGTAATTGCACCTTGTTAACCGTAGACATAATCACGGAATGATATTCGAAAACAGAGAGCGCGTCATCTAGGGACTTTTCGTCGCTACAGTTGGCTAACACCTCGGTGTTACTGAGTACACTAGATGCGAAACTTCTATCGGACATTTGAAAAATCGTGACTTCAAATTTGGTAACCTTGACCAACTATATACACGCAACGTTGACGTTTTCTTGGAAAAGGGGAAAGAAAAGGTTGCATGGGAGGAATTAGAAACGTCGTAGAACTTGGTAAAATTTGAAATGTGAGATAGTATAAAATAATATTTAAAATATATATATAATAACACATATAATAACATATATATTATACATATATATTATGCATATATATTATATATAATAACATATATATATATACGTGTAATTTGATGAGTTCAATATCGTATAATATTTAACAAATCGTTCTTATTCCGTAACTGAATATTCTTATAAATTCCGAACGAATTTGAAATTCAAATACAGTGGGCAAACTTCGCGCATGCGCATCAGAGGTGCGCAACTTTTACACAGGATGCCTCTGATTTTTGCTAAGAGTAAACCCCGGAATAGTTTTCGAAAATAACTGCGACTCTCTGCACAGACAATGGAATTATTTACGGATACATGCGTGCTCGTAACTCCTGCTCGAAATGCGGGGAAATTTCGCCTCCGTTTGCTCGCGTCTATGGACGAGAACGTCGCCGACAGATGGCGTCCGAGTCCGATCTCGTCACTACGGTTGGTGTTGGTGGTCCGGCCGATACGAATTGTCAGTACGTGCACGGCGATAAGCTGACACGGTTTGGAGTCGGGGATCGCAGCTGGTCCTTGGTCGAGTCTGCGAGGAGCCTCGGCGCGGGCTCCTCGAAGCGATTACGCTTCGTCCGGATCCGCTGGCGGGTAGTATCGTGACGTGTCGCGATAATGTGCGGTGGTAAGACCAGTTTCCCGAGAGGAATGCACTGAGTGGACACTCTCGGAGCTCCGTTATTTTCCCTGTCAAAGGGAGACACGCGAAAGTTACCGGTGAGATTTTACGTGTTCGGTCGGTCGGTCGGTCGGTCGGCGGCGCGCACACACACACACATACACGGTACCGCTCTCGCGGTTTTCCCCACGAGGGAAACTGTACTCGCCTGCAATTGTTCGAGAGGGGCGAGAGCGCATCCGAGACGCTCTTCAGAGTTCGAAGACACCGTGGGGGATAACACCGCCACCCCTCGTGCCTCCTCGACCATTACCAAGGCCACGTGGACCACGTTGGGAGCCTGGACAAAATGTGAGTGTCGTATATATTTCTTGAATCGTGCGCACAGCACTGGAACTTCTTCTTTTCCGTAAGAGAAGAGAAAGGAAAAGCGATTTATAAATGCTTTCTATATTCAACCCCTCGCCACGTTGTAAAACTTCGGAGCTAAATGTTTGTTGTTTACTTTCTTCGCGTCTTTATCTTCAGCAGAATTTATCGTATCATGTTGATCTTCCATTATCTCTTCGCAACAAGGGAATTTCTTGATTCCGTAGACTGTGCAGCAGCTTGTATATCTTCCGATTGTTCTCTACACGTTGATCAGATTTGAAAGAACAGGATTATAAAAGGGGTTGGTAAATACGTACGTGTGCAGTGAAATATATGCGTGCCTTTCGAAACGGAAAGTAGAAGCTGTCTTTATCGACGTAGAAGGGTAGAAACGTAATTTACGGGGTCCAAAGTGTGCTCGTTTTTTGAAGAGGGGGGAACAACAGCTTCTTTACCGACGTGGATGGGAAAGGAGTAATTTACAGGGTCAAACGTCGGCGGAAAGTTTAACCCGTTTAATCAACGAGGACGAGTGAACTCGTCGTTCGCGTTCGCTCGAAACACAACTGGCGAGCTTCTAGATTTTTTAACGTATTATTTACACGGCCAACAATTCTTACACTTCGTGCTGTAATCTTATCCCTTCGCGGGTGTTCGTAATTGAGAACTCGCCCGGTCAACAGGTTATCAGTAAAATATGGAGCGCATTAAGACCGAGATAAAAATCTGTACGTGCAATGGGGCTAAGCACAAAGATTCGGTTGATTGATATCGGGGAACACGCAAAATGGGGTGCTGGATTTTTCATGCGTTGGAATCGAGTGGCCAAGTCCTGTTGGCGTGATTTGAAAGTACATAATTTCCTGGGGACATTGTACTGCCACACTTA